TTATATTCAGAGTAGCGATCCTAATATCACTCATTAAAATAATAAAAGGGCATAAAACTGTGATGGTGAGGGCCAGTCCGAAACAGGGACCAAACACACTAAACATCCTCATCAGGACCCGCTTTATGTAGTTTAGTCAGTATCTTTTTTAGTCTAAAAATTTCCAGTGCAGTAAAAGACCCCTCCCTCCTGAAGTGTTTAACATCGTGTATGAACTGCCGAGGGTCCGTAAAGTGCTTTTCCACCTGCACACCTCTATACCCTTTAGTCACACTGAGCAGTGCCCCCCTCCATACTGCCCAGTTCCTCCACAGCCGGTTCCAGCACAGCAGGAGCAGATGAGGGAGACCCCTCCAAGGCCCGTTCAGCCCCTGCAGGTTCCTCAGCCGCAGACTCCCACACAGTCGGTTCACCCCCCTCAGGCTCCAGGTTAGCCAGTGGGTCCGCCGCAGCCAAACCCGCAGCAGCCGCAGGGGGAATGACTACCGCAGGCCCAGCAGCAACAGGCCCCGGCCGCTCCGGCTCAGCCCTCACTGGAGCATCAGTGTTCCCGTCCGCCTTTACAGGACAAGCACGAACAAGATGTCCCGCTTGCCCACACCAGAAACACTTCATAGTAGTTTCAGAAGAAACAAACAGCATATTCAAAACCATCTACATTGAACCAAGTCCAACTCCTCACCTTCCTTCAGAACCATGAACACAAGCCTCCTGAAGGACACCAGGTGCTTAATCAAGGCGCTCTTACAGCCGAGGGGGATCTTCCTAATGGGAGAAACAAGTTTCCCATACCGGGACAGTTCACGAGCAATAAGCTCGTCCTTAATGAAGGGGGGCACGTTAGACAGGATGATCTTTTTAGAGGGGGTGCTGAGGGGCAAGACCGGAGTCAGCTGACCGTTAATAACGACCCCACTCTGAACCAGATTGTTAGCGAGTTCTACCGTTTTCAGAAACAGCACAACAGCGCTGTTCATACGGGAGGCAGAGACGATGTTGGAGTGGCCCACTGCGTTCCCTGCAGCCAGGCAGCTCCTCCACACTCACCCTGCACACCACCTTCACCCCGTGCCTACGAGTCAGGCTCTCATACACGCTGCTCGGAGACGCCATACCCCCGGCGAACACACCGGCAGCAGACTCTCCACCCGCAACTGCAGCTCACACACTCACACTCACACAAACAACCTCAGAAACACAACGAAACTCACAAACTATCAGAAAGAAAAACGTTTTGGCACAACGCCGACTACTCGCACTCACGCTCACCACGCTCCGCTCACTCCACCGCTCACACCCGCGCATGCGCAGAGAGAGAGAGCGAGACAGAGAGACAGTGAGAGAGACACAGAGAGAGAGAGACAGTGAGAGAGAGAGACACAGAGAAAGAGAGACAGAGAGAGAGAGACAGTGAGATAATAATTTATCACAATAATTTGTTTGTAAGCTGTTCCAACAATAGAATCATCTGCCTCACTTAAAACTATTATAAAAACTATGAATACAGTGATACATTATATTCAGTTTCACTGCACTAAATGACCAAGTTGGTCAGTTATGTTTAAACACTGATAATATCTACTCAGAAAAGCTCAGAAAGCTCAGAAAAGCATACTGTGACACTGTAAACCTCCAAGTGCAGGTGTGTGTGTGTGTGTGTGTGTGTGTTTGTGTGTATGAGTGTGTGTGTTCTGTGTGTGTGTGTGTGTGTGTCCACATTCTTTGGCTCCAGTTCAGCTTGTAACCAGAAACCAAACTGGTTTAACTGATCAAAGTTCCACAAACGAATATTTTCCAATTTGGTAAGTGGTGCTCTGTGGTCAGTAGTTCTATCAGTGGTGCTGTGTGGTCATTAGTTCAATCAGCAGTCCTGTGTGGTCAGTAGTTAGATAAGTGGTGATGTGTGGTCAGTAGTTTGATCTGCAGTGCTGTGTGGTCAGTAGTTAGATAAGTGGTGCTGTGTGGTGAGTAGTTTGATCAGCAGTCCTGTGTGGTCAGTAGTTCTATCAGTAGTGCTGTGGTCAGTAGTTTGATCTGCAGTGCTGTGTGGTCAGTAGTTTGATCAGCAGTGCTGTGTGGTCAGTAGTTCTATCAGTGGTGCTGTGGTCAGTAGTTAGATAAGTGCTGTGTGGTCAGTAGTTTGATCTGCAGTGCTGTGTGGTCAGTAGTTTGAACTGCAGTGGTGCTGTGGTCAGTAGTTCTATCAGTGGTGCTGTGGTCAGTAGTTAGATAAGTGGTGCTGTGTGGTCAGTAGTTAGATAAGTGGTGCTGTGTGGTCAGTAGTTAGATAAGTGGTGCTGTGTGGTCAGTAGTTAGATAAGTGGTGCTGTGTGGTCAGTAGTTTGATCTGCAGTGCTGTGTGGTCAGTAGTTTGAACTGCAGTGCTGTGTGGTCAGTAGTTTCATCTGCAGTGCTGTGTGGTCAGTAGTTCTATCAGTGGTGCTGTGTAGTGAGTAGTTAGATAAGTGGTGCTGTGTGGTCAGTAGTTCTATCAGTGGTGCTGTGGTCAGTAGTTAGATAAGTGGTGATGTGTGGTTTCCACTACAGAATCATGTCTGTTTTTAATCCAGTGCCACAGCTGTCAATCAACCACCAGGTGTTTTTTTAGCATTACACAACTTTACCAGCCTTTTGTCGCCCCGCCCCAATTTTTTTGGAACGTGTTGTTGGCATCAAATTTTAAATTGGCAAATATATATAAAAAAACAAACATTTCTCAGTTTCTACATTTGATATGTTGTCTTTGTACTATTTTCATTAAATATAGGGTTTAAATGATTTGCACATCATTGCATTGTATTTTGCACAGCGTCCAACTTTTTTGAAATGGGGTTGTAGATAATTACAAACAGACCACTATCAGAATATCTCTGACATATGACGAGAGGCACTTTAACCAGCTCGTCGACCCTGTCTGTCTATTTGCACACAGCATCCAAAACATTAAGCCAGTTTCTTATTGTCTAGTTCTTCAGATGTTATGTGTGACACCATTTAAGGTGGACTGAAAACTCTGAATAAGAAGCTGAACAGGAAGCCAGTTTCCACCTCACTCATACCTTTTGGCTCAAGAACAGTGAGTTTGAGAAGAGTTTGTTAGCTGATACCAAACGTGGTGAACTAAATTAATCAGACTTGATGTTAGAAAAACTTTTTTTTTGTTAAAACAATAGAAGTACAGTAAGTTTGAATATAAAAATATGAACATATCCTGATCTTGTATGTGCTCTAGCTGTGAAGCGTCCAATCTGCTGTGCAGCACAAAACAACTGAGGTCTGTGACAAGCTATAGCCTATTGTTTGATCCAGTGCCATAGGTAGACATACATTTTTGGGTAGGCCTGTGAAAAAGTGGGTTGGCCAACAAAGTACATGCAATTTCCAAATGCGCTAATGTCCCATCAGCCTACAGCCTATTCCAGCCATGCAGTCATCACCCTACCTAATCCATCATTACTGCTGTATGGTAATTCAAAACAATAGCAATTAACCAGAATACAGGATTCATATAGACACAATCAACACTGCAGCACCCTTCACTATAAAGCCTATGTCTGCTCATCACAGCCATGTTTGCCCAATGAAGACGACATTACTGAGGTAAAATCAGACAGCTGAGACGTCCACAGATGAGAAAAAAACAAAACAGTAAACGTTAAAACCTAAACTTAATCACTGTAGGCTAAAGCGTACTGCCACAGCAGGAATGAAGAATATTTATGATCCATTCATGTCTTACCTTAATGCACTGAAGTAACGTTAGATGTTTACTTTCACATTTTCACAAAGCCCATGTTAGACTTTGTAGTAATATAACATTATAAGTACAAAATTTTCAGAAAACTGATTATTTATGTATAAAGTACAAATTGTTAGGATGGAATCTCACGTTTAAACATCCACAGTTCCATCTTTTTACCCGACTGGAGCTTCAAATTCAAACACTGACATGCTGAACAAACTGAAGGCTTGAGACAATGGTGGATAGCAAACGTTGCTGTGCATTGAATGGAGGGCTTAGAAGAGAAGGCGGAGTTTGGGGGAGAGTGTAATGATTTGATGGGGCATAATACAGACAGCTCTCACAGAAAACAAATCAAATTTCCCCAAGACCTGTGATCAATCTGGGCAGGTGCAGGTAGTGGAAGGGAAATAAATAACTAAATTAAATAAATAAATAGAAAACAAACAAAAAAAAAAACAGCCAATTAAAGGCCCTGAATTACTCTGGGCCCTGGACTTCAGTCCCTGCTTCAAGTTGCATGTGCACATCATCCCTTTCAGAACAAAACCTTGTACCTCTATTTTTGTGGTTTTTTAAGATTTTACAGAATTTGAAAACGCCAGCTGTTCCTTAGAATGTGTTAAATTTCATAATGAATTGGTGAATAGAAATGCTACAGAATTACTTGGAAATGCTATTCTGTTAACTTCCATTCAAAGTTAAGTAGATTTTTTTTCTTCATCTGTAAACAATTTCACTAAACACTGATTATCAGAATTTAAAGATTTTTTTTGCTGCCTCCAACTCCAGTGAGTGCTGTGAGGCTTTAACTGTATTGTACGGAGACAGTCATAAACAGATAAATGTATTTAAAGGAGTGCAAAATAAAACAGCCTTGAATAAATACAGAATGCAGATCTGTAGGCTAAAGAAAAAATATACACAGTGCAAAGAAACATACTGTGAAACATTACATAAAAAACCTACAGAAAGTAGTAATCAGAACTAGAAAACAGCAGAATCAACTTCCTATATAGACATTGGCAAATGATCACAACTGAACTGAAAACTTCATCTCTCTAACCTCAGTTCAGTTTGAGAGTCTGTTTCATACTGAAAGTTAAAAACAAACAGTAAATCAGTAATAATGTCCATTAAAGCTGAGAGCAGAGTTACCTGATTCTGAGGTCAGTGTTCAGAGTCTTTAAAGCTGAGAGCAGAGTTACCTGATTCTGAGGTCAGTGTTCAGAGTCTTTAAAGCCGAGAGCAGAGTTACCTGATTCTGAGGTCAGTGTTCAGAGTCTTTCAGAGTCTTCAGGTAGAAAAGTTCAGCTCCGTCTTTATCAGGATCTCCAGTCCTACAGCAGAGACACTCATCAGCTCATATATGATAATACGATCTGTAGTTTCTCACAGTCGACCAGTTTATTATATCACACTCCTGAACACACTCAGCTCCTCTACTGGACTTTAGACTGAATGATAAACTAGCTGTAACTTCCTTTTCCTCAGAAAGAGAAAACCAGTTGGAGCACATTCAATCACATTAGAGTGTATCTGATATCAAAGCTTAACAAGACTGGGCAAGCAGAGTTTTGAAGGATCAACATCAGCTACACTGCATTTGTCACACAAGTGTCTATTACAGTGGATTTGTTCACATACTAAACTTTATGTACTGGGTGGTGAATTCCCGAGGTCTAAGTAATGTACATTACATTTACTCTTGTTGCTGTACTTGAGTACAGTTTTCCCTGTAACAGTACTTTTTTGAGTAGAATTAAATCATAGTATTTTCACGCTTACTTGAGTTAATATTTAATGATATACTTTTACTTCGATATTTTAATTTTTAAATTTTTAATTTAATTTTTATCGAAGTTCTGGAGAAGGACAGAGGAGAACTGAACAAGCACACACGAGGAACAGATGCGTCCAAACGGTCATCTGTGTTTATTTAACATGAAATAAAGAAAACAGTGTTATTATCAGCGGCCGAACACGAAACCTGCTGAGATCCGCTCTCACAGCTCGACTCAAGCCTGAGGCAGCGTTAGCCGAGCTAGCTGATCCGAGCTAAACAGGTACCGAGTTTCTGGTTTTCTTCTTTCTTTTATGATGATTCTGTTTATTAAACTTCAATTCCGCTGTGTATATTTTATTACAGTGTCTGTCCCGTTTATAAAGCCTAGTTTAGTGGCTGTGTTGGACATAAACAGTCGTGTTTGGCTGAGATGCGAGAAATCTAGTCTAATACAGGTTCTTCATAAACTCTAGGCATTGTTGCGCTGTCATTGTTTGAGCTGACTGGCCTGATCTGATCAGACTGCAGTAGAGTATGAAGTTTGTGTGCTGTACACAGACCAATCAGAGATCACCTCATATTAATAACGAGCCCTCAGAGACATCAGAGCATCACTCAGACTCAGTTTAAACAGTGAACCATATTATTCAGACCATCGTTCAGTCTGACTGTAAAAAACGGTACAGTTACAGTTTGTTCAGTCAGTTTATCACAGAACTCTGGCCAAATCTTCTTCCTCTCTCTTTTTATTTCTCTCTTTCTCTCTCTGTCTTCCTCTCTCTCTCTCTCTCTCTCTCGCTTTGTCTTCCTCTCTCTACCTCTCTCTCTGTCTCTCTCTCTCTCTCTCTCCTGGTGTTTGTCTTTAACTGTGAGAGTCTGTGTAGCTGTTTAACTGTCTAATGCAGTCATAATGTCTGATTCTGTATGAACTGATCAGCATGATTAGTGAAATATATTACAGTAAAATCAAAGCTGGTTAAATTACTGATGTTGCTGCTGATTTTAATGGTGTAAATGTTCTGAACAGATATCAGTGAAAATACACAGTTTGAAGGCTGTGAATGTGTTTACTGTTTGTAGAGGTTCACATCTGTTAACGTAAGCTAGAGTCCAGGGAGCTGATGGGCAGCAGGACTCTCACTAAAATCTACTGTAATTCTGACTCTTAATCAGTTTATTTCTTCTTAAAGAACTTAATTAAACAGCAAAATCCTCTGCTCAGTCTTTCAGGGACTCTGAAATACTTTACTGGAAACAGATCAACTAGGACGTCTTATATAATCATCTAACCATAAAGCACTTGCAGTTTAATGTAAACCTTGTTCCTTAATCAGTTCACAGACAGGTGTGTAACTAGCAAAACTGTGATCAGTCTCAGGTCTCAGAACTTTTTTTCTCACATAATAATGTTTTGTTTTAGTGGTTTTCTGTACGTATTATTTCCGATAATGTAGCCGAGTCAGCTCAGAAATATTTTCAGGTTGTGACAGCAGAAATACAAAAAAGTAACTCAGTACTCAAGTAGTTTTTCAATAAACTACTTATTTACTCTTACTTGAGTAATTTTATTTACTAATACTTTTACTTGTATTTGAGTAAATTATCACTACAGTAACAGTACTTGTACTTAGGTAGGGATATCCAGTACTTTTTAAACCCCTGTCAAATTCATATTTTAGCCCACCAGCCTGTAGTTACCTGTCAAGTTTTATCATTACACTATTAACTATCATACTTATATGACTGCTACCGCTAATAATAATGATAAGTAGAACGTTCTAAGGGTTCAAGTACAAAAAATTAGACTGTTAACAGTTTAATTATACGGGACTCTTATTCTGATAGCAGGTGCTTTCAATGGTCAGTCATCATCCAGAACTGACAAAGGAGTTTCCTGACTGATCTGTGTTCTTTAATGATTTGTCTGATAATTCATATTATTATTATTCTTATTATTATTATTATTATTATTATGACATGGTGTGCCTACTGCTATGTCTTTAAAGAATCCATAAAGACAGATTTAGTAGCTGGGGCTAAGTTAAAATAATAAGATGTTATTAACATGCTAACAATTTGTCAGACTCTGAGATAATTTCTGCTATTAAACATCCGTCATAGAGCTGCTCAGAATCAGAGGCAAGCAAAATGTACATTTTCTCTTGAGTATAAAAATAAAAGCAAACACAACTAATTCTCTCTAGCATACATGCTAGTAGTGCTAGCTTTAAAGCTTTTAAACCAGCTAATGTTCCACTGGTGAATAAATGTAACTTCATAAAGCAGTAATTCTGGTTGGTGTAGTGTAGCTGGTAATACAATGGACCAGTCAAGTGGTACAAAAATGCAGTCAGAATAATCTGGGGGTCGGGATGATTCAGGAGGAATAAGGTGATTCTTCTAAAATTCCATAAGAGAAGCATTAGACAAAAAGAGACACTACTGGCCCCATTTAACACCACATAACACCATTTTATATACATATACACAACACCTCATAAACACCTTTACAATGCGATAAGCACTTATTACACATTAGGCGAACAGTGAAAAATGGAATTGGGTAGAATGTGTTTATTTAGCTGTTCAGACTTGGAATAGAAATTTGACACATTATCATTTTGAAATACTGTGATAATTTAAGAAACTACTGTACATCCTATTACTGTTATACTGCCCAACTCACAAGCACTAGCTTGTTATCAGTCACATCTTAAGCTAAAAATAGCCTCCCACAGAACTGTGGCTAAGAACGAGCTGCTGCTTGTGTGTTTGTGTTGATATCAGACTATCGTTCTTGAGCTTCATTTCAGGTTCTGTAACTGTAGTAACTGTATTCTGTGACAGTTACAGTATAAAGACAGTGTTCAGATCACAGTTTCATTGTATTAAAATGACATTAAAATCACAGATATGCAAACTAGTCTGTACAAATTTACCACTTTCAATCATAAACATGCCACTCAATGCGTCACTGACTATCTGACTATCTGTTAATCTGACTTTTACAAGCGTTAAATGAAACCTCTGAGGCTGAAATGCTAATTGAAATTATGTCTCCTGAGCAGTAAAGTTGGTCTCATTTTAGGGTTTATTATTATTTATTATTTATCTTAGTTTTTGAATGATGGGTGCAGAAACATCAGTGTGTGTAATTTATCATTGTTTTTAACTAAAACAGTCAGTTTCCACTTAGTCTTTGTGAGAAATCAGTGCCTTTTAAAGTGCTGAACTGAGGAACCACCTACAAATTACACTGCTTGGTTTCTGAACTTTTTCAGTGATTAGTATTCAGAGTTTGTATGTCTGAACTTAAACAGATCACACTGTACATATTTGTCATCTTTATGTTTGGATTTCCACATTTGGCCATTTCACTAAATGTGAGATCAGTGACCGTCTGAGTGAAACACAGTTTCAGTTTGTGTTCCTGCTGTGATTCTACATCACACACTTAGTACAGAAAAGTACAAGATAAAACATTCATTTCATTTTTTCATTCCAAACTACACAGGACTTCTTTATTTACCTGCTTAACTCCAGTAAAATATTTCATGATATTTTCAAATGGATATATGAAATTATACAGTATACTGAATACACTTTTATAGTAACTCTTCCAACTCTATACCATGTGTTAGAGTGTCGTTATAACCAGTGAAAAATCTCAAGTGAAATGATTATAATATATGTTACGATATTGCATGAAATCTGTTGTAGTTCATTCTGTCATTAATTTATGTAATGTTAATCGCTTACACTGAGGCAGCAGTACAATCATGATCATCACTTGACCACAAACATATATCAGTTATTAAAAACATGATGTCGGTCAGTGTTATTAATAATAATAATAGTAATAAACTGCACAGATTGTCCTTTTACGCTGCAGGGTTTACTGATAAAGCTGATAATGTTCAACTCAGTTTAACCATCAAAACCAGAGCACACTTTAATCAAACTCCATAATGAAGAACTGAGTCCATACAGTGACCATTACACTCATACATTCATAAACAGGTTCATTTCCTACCTTTATATTTCTGGACACTGTGTGATGTTAAACAGGCCGTTTCTCCTCTGGAGTGAATGTAATGTTGTCTTTTTTGTTCAGAGAGATGATGAAGTCACAGTGGGTGAAGTTCACTGAGCAGCATCACTAAAACAGGTTCAGTCTAAATCTCAGTGATGCTGTGAAGAAGAAAACACTCTGCAGGTCATTTGACCTACAGTCTCACTGAGACACATAGACTGCAGTGTTTTCTTTATGACAAGCTAAAGTTTAACAGGATGAAATCAGCTGGAAAAGCTTCATAGTGAAAGTATCTGATCTCAGAAATCTGATCAGCAGTAGCTCAGATTATGAACTGTCTAAGTTACGATTATTAAATAAAAAAATAGTAATGGGTTACGATGCTTTTAACTTTATGATGCTGTTAAGATAATTATGAACTCATAAGGACACAGTAACACCTTATTCATGATAAAACATAAAGAAATTACTTATTCATTTGGTAAGGACAGTATAGGGCAGTATAAACCTGTGTTTCACATTTTGGTCAGAGGTTTTAATATGGAACTTCAGATACAGAACAAACTGGTGTGTAAATCTGGAATTTTATATCTCATAAACAGCCAAACATCTTCAGCTGAAAGTCAAACACTGTGCATTCACCAGTGTAACATTAGCTGACTAAGCTTTAAAGCTAACGCTATTAGCATGTATGCTGGAGAGAATTAGCTGTGTTTGCTCTTATTTTTATACTCTCAAATGTAATACTTTGTTGTTT